ATGACCTCAGTTGCATCTCTTGTGTTACTTGTTGAGATAGAACCCTCCACACTGATTCACCACTGTTGTAAGTTGTTGGGATTGACCTTGTGATGAATACTTGTTGATTGTGTCCTTTTGTGGACTTGGTGATAAGTGCATTTTTGCCTATATTTTTACCCCTTCTTGAACCCATTTTATTTCTTAATTGCCTAAACACTTGTGTAAATTGTGACTAATTTATATTGGTTTTATTTCAAGGTGCAATCGTTCACAACAAGTGAGGAATTCAATGATTTGTGGAAAGATACGAGCAATTTTTTGATCAAGATATCAATCAAAGAGTTTGGAATGCATTTAGGAATTTTCATGAGCCTCGCACCCCCTTGCCTACGCACATCCCTCATCCCATCCGAGATCTGAAAAAAAAGAAGCAGGTGGCGTATCCCCTCGAGTACGCCCGTACGCGTGCCCGTATTTCCATTCCAGTGAACACTAGAATAAATCATACTGCCTCAGGGATGGCCGTACGGGAGGTAGTACCTCTGTGCTCTGTTCAATATATAGGCGCGGATTCACTCATTTTTACACGGTTTTGGACCTTGTTCCAACCCTAGACATTTCCTTTCACTTCCTTTCATATTTTAGTGTTAGATTAGGCTTAGATTTAAGTTCCACAACATATTTCAAGTTTGTAATCAAGGATTCAACACTTGGATTCCAAGATTTGCCATCCATTCCTTAGTGAAGTTTTCTTTCTCTTATCTCTTTCTTTTGCAAGATTTATGTTTAATACTTGTGTTTTTTGCTCTTTATGCTATTTAATCATGTGTAGTTAGTTTTTGGACTTAAGTTAGGGTTGTATTTTCTATCTTGATGCTTGATTTGTGATTATTGCAAAAAGGGGAAGAACTCTAACCTAGGGTTCTTGAGTTTATGAAGGATTTGTGTTTGTATATTGTTAATGCTGGTGTACAACATTCACTAGCATGTTTTGGAGGATTCTTAGCCTCAATGAGAGTTGGGTCAAGACTCCAAGCTACTCCTTACATAAACCCGATTTTTCCTATGAAAATGGGGGAAATTGGGAGTTTTAAATGCTTTATGTTCTTGAAGAACTTGGAGTTTATTCACCACGAGAGTGGGGAAATTCCTTGTTCTAATCCTTGTTAATTTGCTCACGTGAGTGACTTATAGACTAGGATTCCTATGTGCATCCCCTCTATTCCTTGGTTGTGTGATTTTCTTCAATCCTTAGGTTGTGCTATGCACCTAGAAGATAATACTCCCTATCTTGAGTCCTATTTCTTTATTTCGTGTTTACATCTTGTTCATATGTGCTTGTGTTATTTTGTTTAGTTACCGTAGTCTTAACTTCGTTATGATTTGCTTAGCTTCTTGTTGGTTTCCCTATGATAGTGCCTAGTTTATTGTGATTGCGTATTGCGTGCCATATCCCCCAATCCCTTGAGGACGACATAACACACCTGAGCTCACATCTTATTTTTGCTACAATCACTTGGTAACTTGAGATTGATGTTGATTGCTTGACCTTGGAGAGAACTATCTTTGTTGATTGCTATGATTGTCTTACTTTGATCTTTATTCTTGATCCTTAATTTTATCTCGTTGATGCGGTCTATTTCATTGATCTTGTGGTCTATTGTGTACTGTTGAGTATATCTCTTGTGTGGTTTGGCTTTGAGCCCATTCCTCGTGATTTTACTGATTAGAGTTTGTTAGGAATAAATTGTAAATTTTGATGAGCCGAATGTATTTTTGAAAAATCAAGTAGTTCCCATTTTTATTCTATTTGAGTCAGTTTGAGTCTACAGAGTATGGTGCACCCACATCATGCAACCCATGTACAAGTCTTGAAGATCATAATTTATTTGAAGAAGTTAAGCGGGATTATAGCTTAACACAATTATGATGCAGATAAGTCACCAAGAACCATGCTAGAGGAGTTGGATGATATGCGTGTGAGCTATGTCAAATGATCTTAAGTTTGAATCAAGTGAAGCATTTTTACCTTGCTTGGGAGACTATCTCCACCGTATGGGAGACTAACCTCCACCATATGGGAGACTAGCTAAACCGTATTGGAGACTATCTAAACCATATGGGAAACTAGCTTGGAGACCAACTAGCTAAAATGGAGACCAACTAGCAAGGAGACTAGCTTGGAGACCAACTAGCTAAAATGGAGACTAACTAGCTAAATTGGAGACTAGCTGAGAGACTAACCCTATCTCCACCGTATGGGAGACTAACCTCCACCGTATAGGAGAATATCTAAACCATATGGGAGACTAGCTTGGAGACTAGCTAAACCGTATTGGAGACTATCTAAACCATATGGGAGACTAGCTTGGAGACTAGCTAGCATGGAAACCAACTAAAATGGAGACCAACTAGCATGGAGACTAGCTAAAATGGAGACCAACTAGCAAGGAGACTAGCTTGGAGACCAACTAGCAAGGAGACTAGCTAAAATGGAGACTAACTAGCTAAATTGGAGACTAGCTTGGAGACTAGCTGGGAGACTAACTAGCTAAATTGGAGACTAGCTGGGAGACTAACCAAGTTGGAGACTAAGTGGCCTGGAGACTAAGTAAATTGGAGACTAACAAAGGTGAATGCACAAGTCTCGCAAGAGCCATGCACCAGATGAAGAAACACACCAAGTATGGTGGACCAAGCATAAAATCGAAACAGAGCATCTCACCATGAACAACGATGAAGTTTCTACAGAGGTTCCAATATATTGTTTTACAAGGATCATGAAGGAGAAAATATCTGATATATTTTCATCTGAACATCAACTTTTTACGATGGAACCGGAGACGCTCGAAGGATGCTGATTTACGGAGAAATTGTTTCATACTCAAGCAAGAATCAGCAGATAAATTATTTGATCAACTTGACATGTCAGAGCATTTATGAAGGACAAGAAAAATCAAGCTTTCCGCGCCGACCTTATTCAAATCTTGGACACTACAAAATTCAAGACACGGCAACGGGCAAAATATTCAAATCATCTGACAAAAGGAGAAAAGACTTCTACCTAATAATTCAGATCAAGTTGACAATATTATTTGATCAACTACAATTCAAAATGGACGATCGAGATCGAAAGTTGATCAACGGGCAAATAGCTTTCTTTGGCTATAAATTGCCCAAGCAGACTTGAAGACAGGTGGACACTTGAACAAGAGCAGAATACGAAAAACAAATCCAATCAATCATCAAGTGATATATTGAGCTATATACGAAAGAATTCAAGTCTGATTGAGAGAAAAATTTTATCTCTTTGTAAACTTCTCTACTGAGTGTAGAAAGAGGGCGGAGTAACAAGAGAGAGTGAAAAACCCTGGTTGAGTGTAGCTTTATGCGTAGCACTCGGTGTAAAGGGCAGAGTAACAAGGGGAGCTTGTGAAAACCCTGTGAGGACGTAGCTTTGTGCGTACTTCTCGTGGTGTAGGAGTACAGCTTGGTGCGAAGTACTCGGGAAGGCGGAGTAACAAGAGGAGCTTGCGAAAAACCTTGGAGGAGTGTAGCTTTGTGCGAAGCACTCGGAGAAGTGTCGGTGGACACTTATTCACTATTGTATCTGGGTGATCAAAGAATAGTGAATTTCCTCCTTGAAGTGAAAGGAGAAGAGTGGACTAGGAGGATTACACCACCTCTGGACCACTATAAACTTCTCTCTCTATTTACTTACTGCTCATATATTTTGTGCATGCTTATTCTAACTGCGAACTAACCCCATTACAATTTATCGCATATCTTTATCTGTCTGGGTTTGATAGTTCCCACGTTTGCATGCAAGCCAAACTTTACGTATATCATCCTTGAACCATTTCAAGTGTTTCTAACGTGTTGCATGTTTAGAATCTCTCTTTGAGCACCGCACTATTAAGCATAACACTTTACCGCTACCCATTCCGCTGCACACTCTAAGTTGTTTATCTTGTTGATGCTTGTTACTTAGAGTTGAAATTACCAAAGTGTTATTTGCCTTGTGTGTTTTCGAAGAAAGTTTGAAAAGTTAGAGAAGTCTATTCACCCCCCCCCCCCCTCCCCTCTAGACTTCTCACCACCCTTTCGGGACCAACAAGTGGTATCAGAGTGGTTGTCTATTTGAGTCAATTTTGACTACTAGATAGATCTCAAAATCTTCAAGATAAAGAGAGATATAGTTCTCGCTCAAAATTTGCTTTTCTCACTTAACAAATTTGATGATTGGAAAATTCGAATGCAGGTGCACTTATCTGCTCTAAATGATGAAATGTGGGAAGTCATCACAAATGGTCCTATCAAGATCATGGAAGTTAACACCGCTGCCGCACTAAATCCAGATGCTCCAAAATATATTCCAAAGCCAAGAATGGAGTGGACAAGTGATGATAGAGGGCGAAATAATTTGGAAAACATTGCCAAAGATATTTTGTTCAAAGCGGTCGATGACACCATATTCCCAAAGATTCGAAAGTGCACCACAGCAAAAGAAATATGGGATACACTTATCGGTATCGGTGAAGGCGACGAACAAGAAAAAGACAACAAACTAATCATCGCCATGAAGAGGTTCGAAGATTTCAAAATGCTACCTAACGAAAGCATCACCGACATGGAAGCTCGATTGATCAAAATCCTTGGAGAAATCACGGATCTAGGAAAGACCATTACCCAGAAGGAAATATCGCTCAAAGTGTTACGCGGACTACCTACAAGTTGGGATATGGAGGTGACCGCAATGCGCGATCATAGAGATCTAAGGACATTATCTACGGATAAACTCTTTAGTGATCTTAAGGCGTATGAGTTCGAAATGAAGACACGAGTCGAAGAAGAACGTGATGAACGAACATCCGCACTAATGGCCGAACAACCATCCTCATCAAGAAAGCCTGGACATTTTATGGCCGAATGTCCACACCCCAAGGTGGACAAAAATTCGAATACTTCTCCACAGGTGGAATACAAATCCAAAGAGAAGAAATTCAAAAAGGGAAAACGGAAGGCACTAATAAGCGATCCGCTAGAAGCAAGTGAATCCAAAGAATCATCTAGTGACGAAAGTGATTCATCACAAGAAGATACGCCGCTACTATGCCTAGTGGGCAAGACATCCGAACATGAGGAATGCTTAATGGCGCGTGAAACCGACGAAGAGGTATCTTCTAGCTCTTTTAGTTCTTTTAGTTCCGTTGACACTTCTTTCGAGACTCAAGAATCATTTCAAAGTCTTATGGAAGATTGTCAAAAGGTCATGGCCACTCATACTCAAATCAAAGAGCGCAATAATATGTTAATCCTTGAAAAGGAAGAAATGTCACAAAAATTGCAAAATGCTCTAAATGAAATGAGTAACTTGAAAGCCGAAAATGTTCGACTTCAAGAAGAGTGTAAAGCTAGAGAGGTTCGAGAACATAACCTTCGGGAAGTAATCGCATCATTTACAAATTCATCCAAAATAATGGATAAAATGGTAAACATGCAAAAACCCGCTGGAGATAAAACCGGACTAGGCTACGATCCATCATGTTCTCAAACCCCTGTGAAACTGACTAATTCTACTACTACTTTAATTAATAAAGTTCCAATGGTAAATTTTGTAAAAAGTCAGTATAGCACAATGAGACAAGGAGTTGGTAATCAAATAAATGCCCAGAAAAATGTTGCAAGGCCGAATCCAAAAATTAATATCTCGGATAGGCAACAAAATTTTAAAAGGCAAAAATTTGTATCTCCAAAGAGAGCCAACGAGTCTAGTGCAACAAAACCTCATAGGAATATGGGAAGAATTCCGAGAATTGGGGCTGGGAGATTATATCCCTCAGAACAAGATTGGTCGCTTGAAGACAAACCATGGACCAAGTCCAGATTTGCTCTTTTTCATAGGATCAAGCAACTATCTACTTCCCAACCTGCACCAAAGCATTATTCGCAAATGCGTTATGATTATAGAGTCTTTAATGGTTACAAATCACCTACTCTTGGATCAGTGGGATCTAGGTGGATTTGGATGCCAAAAATTACTAACACAAAAGGACCCAAACAAGTATGGGTACCTAAAAATAATTAATCTTTTTTGCAGGAAGTTTGGTATTTCGATAGCGGTTGCTCTCAACATATGACCGGCAATAAAGCTAGTCTAGTTGAGTTCAAAAGTATCGAAGGACCAAAAGTAGTTTTTGGTGGAAACGATCGATATGGAATGACAAAAGGAACTGGCGCAATTGTGAAAAATGGTCTACGAATTGATGACGTATCTTATGTCGAAGGATTAAAATTCAACTTGTTTAGTACAAGTCAATTTTACGACAAAGGATATCTCGTAGAATTTTACAAAGGCAAATGTCAAGTCAAAGACGAATCTACGAATGAAGTCGTACTCGCCGGATCAAGAAAGAAAAACATGTATGTTGTAGATTGGAGTACAACGAAAGATTCTGTATGCTTGATGGCAAACAATTTGAATGAAGCTAGTTGGGAATGGCACAGGAGGCTAAATCATATGAATTTCAAAACCATCAACAAGCTTGCCAAAAATAAGTTAGTCGAAGGACAACCCAATATTGTGTTCAAGAAGGATCAAATATGTGACGCATGCCAGAAAGGAAAACAAATCAAAACATCATTCAAAGCCAAAGCTCAAGAGTCAACATCAAGACCTTTAAGTCTACTGCACATGGATTTATTTGGTCCAGTAGACCCAGTAAGTATAAGTGGTAAGAAATATACTTTGGTTGTTGTTGATGATTTTTCTAGGTACACATGGACAATATTCATCAAGAAAAAGTATGAAGTCTTATCAAAGTTGCCAGAGCTATTGAAGCTACTACAAGTCGAAAAAGACATGAAGATTGGAACAATACGAACAGATCGAGGAACAGAGTTCGTGAACAGAGTGATTCAATCGTACTGCAATTCACAAGGAATTTTACATCAATTATCTGCCGCACGAACGCCGCAACAAAATGGCGTAGCTGAAAGAAGAAATCAAACACTCAAGGAAGCCGCACAAGTCATGATATCAGCCGCCGGACTACCAAAGAGATTTTGGGCAGAAGCAATCAACACGGCGTGCTATACTCAAAATTGCAGTCTAATCCACAAGTCTTATAACAAAACACCATATGAATTATGGAAAGGGAGAAAACCCTATCTCACCTATTTTCATACATTTGGTTGTAAATGTTTTGTACTTGTTAATGGAAAGTCTCAATTAAAGATTTTTGACGAGCGAGCGGACGAAGGAACATTCTTGGGATATTCATCCACCAGCAAGGCATATAGAATATTCAAGAAATCAACAATGGTGGTAGAAGAATCGATTCACGTTGTGTTCGATGAAAATCACGACAAAAATGGCAAAGATAGTGAAGGTAATCGTGATTTAATTATTTCTAATGATATGTTGGAAGATAATGTGTTGCAGGAAGTAGAAGAATCAAGTGATATGGGTACTCACCAAATTGAGGCAATATCCAATATGATACCCGAAATATCACGCACACCTACAACCGAAATTGCACCCGGAATTCCAACGGAAGAAATTCCAGTAGATGAACGCGAAGATGCACCCGTCAACAATTCACAACAAGTGGAATCACAACAAGTACTCCAACAAGAAGGAAACTCTGAGAATCCAACAAGTTTCCAACCAAATCGAAAATGGCTAAGAAGTCACACACATGACTTAGTCATTGGAAATCCGAGGGACGGAGTAAAGACACGATCATCTTCTAGGAACCAACAACAAGATGTATCAACAAGGGATGCAATGTTCTCATGCTTTCTATCACAACTGGAGCAAAAAGAAATTAACGAAGCCTTAGCCGATCCAAGTTGGATAGATGCCATGCAAGAAGAATTAGATCAATTCAAGCGCAACGACGTATGGAAACTTGTTCCAAGACCAATGCACCAAAATGTGATTGGCACTAAATGGGTCTTTAGGAACAAAGCAAATAAAGATGGCGTCATTGTTAGGAATAAGGCAAGATTAGTTATGAAGGGGTACTCACAAGAAGAAGGTATTGATTTTGATGAGACATTCGCCCCCGTCGCACGACTCGAAGCAATCCGAATATTCCTAGCTTATGCAGCGCACAAGAATTTCATCGTATATCAAATGGACGTAAAAAGCGCATTTCTTAATGGCTTACTTGAAGAAGAAGTTTACGTCGAACAACCACCCGGTTTTGAGGTAAAAGACATTGGTGATCAAGTCTACAAATTAAAGAAGGCATTGTGTGGGTTAAAACAAGCTCTGCGAGCTTGGTATGACACCTTGTCAATGTTCTTAATTAGTTGTGGATTCACCAAAGGTCTAGTCGATAAAACCCTCTTTAGAATTCAAGAAAATAATCATATTTTATTAGTACAAATTTATGTTGATGATATTATCTTTGGAAGTACGGATAAATCTTTATGTGAGAAATTTTCTAAGCTCATGCAGAATAGGTTCGAGATGAGTATGATGGGAGAATTAAATTACTTTTTGGGATTGCAAGTCAAGCAACTTGAAGAAGGAATTTTCATAAATCAAGCCAAGTACACAAGAGATCTTATCAAGAAATTTGGCGTAGATGGAAAATCCTCAGTCAAAATTCCCATGAGTACATCTCAAAAATTGGATAAAGATGATGAAGGAAAAGATGTCGATCAAACGATGTATCGAGGAATGATTGGATCGTTACTATATCTAACCGCAAGCAGACCGGACATATCCTACTCGGTTGGCGTATGTGCAAGATTCCAATCAAAGCACAAAGAAAGTCATCTGATTGCAACCAAGAAGATAATTCGATATCTTAAAGGAACAATCAATGTGGGATTATGTGAGAACAATTAAAGAAGGCATTGTGTGGGTTAAAACAAGCTCCGCGAGCTTGGTACGACACCTTGTCAATGTTCTTAATTAGTTGTGGATTCACCAAAGGTCTAGTCGATAAAACCCTCTTTAGAATTCAAGAAAATAATCACATTTTATTAGTACAAATTTATGTTGATGATATTATCTTTGGAAGTACTGATAAATCTTTATGTGAGAAATTTTCTAAGCTCATGCAGAATAGGTTCGAGATGAGTATGATGGGAGAATTAAATTACTTTTTGAGATTGCAAGTCAAGCAACTTGAAGAAGGAATTTTCATAAATCAAGCCAAGTACACAAGAGATCTTATCAAGAAATTTGGCGTAGATGGGAAATCCTCAGTCAAAATTCCCATGAGTACATCTCAAAAGTTGGATAAAGATGATGAAGGAAAAGATGCCGATCAAACGATGTATTGAGGAATGATTGGATCGTTACTATATCTAACCGCAAGCAGACCGGACATATCCTACTCGGTTGGCGTATGTGCAAGATTCCAATCAAAGCCCAAAGAAAGTCATCTGATTGCAACCAAGAAGATAATTCGATATCTTAAAGGAACAATCAATGTGGGATTATGGTATCCCAAAGAAGGAGATTTTACACTAACTGGTTATTCAGATGCAGATTTTGCAGGTTGTAAAATAGATCGAAAAAGTACCTCAGGGACATGCCAGTTCTTAGGGGGAAGATTGGTCTCTTGGTTCAGCAAAAAGCAAAACTCCATAGCTACGAGCACTGCCGAAGCCGAATATATTGCAGCTGGGAGTTGTTGTGCACAAATCTTGTGGATGAAGCAACAATTATTGGACTATGGGATTAAGTGCGAAAATGTTAGCATTTTATGCGATAATACTAGTGCAATCGCCATAACCCAAAATCCGGTGCTTCATTCGCGAACCAAGCATATCGATGTTCGACACCATTTTATCCGAGACCACGTCGAAAAGAAAGATTTGAAAATCGATCACGTTCCCACGGAAAATCAAATTGCCGACATTCTCACAAAGCCGTTGTGTGAATCTCGTTTTGCTACTCTAAGGCATGAAATGGGAATGATCGAAATGAGCTAAGCAATTTCTAAACTTTTTTTTTAATATGTTCGCACTATGCATGTTACGTGTTATTTATGTGACCTACGT